AAGCTTTCTAACAGAGGTCGCTGGACAATTCAGCAGTTGAGTATTACTGGGATCCATGGAATAGAGTCAACAGCACAATAGTGAAAGCTCAAGTTCGGATCCCAGCTCTGCCACTTATTTGGGTAATTTGGTTAACTATTCTTTGTCTCAGTTTCATTTTTAAAATGGAGATAGTCATATCCACTTCAGAGCAGTGCAGAATCGAATGAAATAAGGTACACTATATTCCTCAAGGCCTTAGGACATGGGACCAGTAGTTAGTGTAATGGCTGTGTCGCTGAACTCCCATGTAGTCAACTGTGGTTCGAGCCCTGGACCCAGTGGCTTCTCTCTCGCCGGGCGTGTGTGCGTGCGTGTCCAAGATACTGAGAGGCGAATGGAAGAGAAGGGATTCGGCATGGCCATCCCCCCTAAAGGCGATTTCTCACTTTCTATCTCTCCATCTCTCTCTGTCTTTCTGGCAAATGCACATGCCCTATAGCAAAAACCTCTCAAAGAAAAAAAAAAAAAAAAGCCTTAGGAAAAATTTCAGGAAGATGTTTATATGGAGACACAACATAAAATGTTAGAACCCAAGACTGCTAAAAAAAAAAAATGTTTGAAAAACACAGCTTTATGCAATGTAATGAACACAATGGCTTGGTTTGGCTATTTAAGTATGAAACTAATTGTCTCAATATAGTGTGAGTATACACATAAAACTTGTAACACCTTATATGGCATATCATTAAAAGTTTAATCAACCTAAGACCATTTCAAATAAAATCTCCATCTAAGCAAAATAATAATACTGCATAAATCTATAATTCAGCTGGGAGCTATTTTAGAAAGCTGAATTAAGACTCTTGACTAAGCTATAATTTAATGAAAAGATGCCCTAATTTTCAGTCGTAGTGATTTAAATACAAAGTGTTCAAATGGCTATGATTTTTATTGCCACAAAGAAGATGCACAAAATGCAAGGCATTCAGGAAATCTTTCCAAGAAAGATTCCTGAGGTTAAACCTGAAAGACAGAAAGGAGTTAGCAGAGGAAGGGTGGGAAAATCAGTACCTATAGAAAGTGCAAAAAGGCCTAGAGAGAGGCCTTTGTGGATATAACCTAGACTTTGGTTACATCTACACTATGTAGACAAACCTGCAAACTGTCATAGATTTATAGTATGACCTCCACTTTTCTTCACTCTGTGTTCTTGAGTTCATGATATAAAGAAAAAGGTATAACTAATCAGTTTATGTGTTAGTTTCAATGGACCAAGGCAAACTCTTGACAAACAACTTGTAACATCCCCTTCTTGCCCTTTTCCTTGCTATAGAAAACAGTCTTCAGGGCAGCCATTTTGGTAAGCATATTTTTGGGCAAACAGAGCTATGTATTACCTGGGCAAATCCCCCTAAGCTGGCTCAAATAAACCACTTTCATTTCACTCACTACGTCTCAGCCTTTCTTATGGATTGACAAAAGAAGGGCATCTAATCTTCTCTACCACCAAAGGCAACCAGATGTCTCACAGTTGGGGCTGGCAGGTGGTGGGGTGATTAAAGACGATGGATTCCCACAAGGCTGTCTGAGGTTCAAATCTTAACCTGGCTGCTTGCTTTCTCACTTTCTCTCTCTCTCTCTCTCTTGCTCTGGTCAATAATAATAAAATAAATAAAAATAATTATTTTAAAACAAAGTTATCACTGATATAACAAAGAGATTTTATGCTGGAGGCACAAGGACCTCTGCAAGAATGTTTTCCAAACCACTCTACCAAGTTGGGTCATCCTTAGTATGTTACTGCTACAATCAGGATTGTAAATGGGAAGAAACCAGTTTACAAAGGCTGTGTTGACTAAAAAGCAATGATCAATCCATCATTGTGTTAGCAGGTGAGAATGGCTGGGCCAACAGAAAAGTTGATTCATATTTTTAATCACCCTAACATATAAGCTTTTTAATCTTTCAAAGCTCTGAGCCTCTTGGCCCAGAATAAAGGCCAGTACTGATCTAAAGAAATTTAGTGTATAAATGCACATTTAGTGCAGCTATCATTTTAAGTTTTGCTTATAAAAGCTTTGATTAGCATTGCTTCTACATTCCAATGCAAGCACTGTAGCTAACCTAATTTGGGCTTTAAGCATCAGCATGAAGACATCTGTACTTCTTAGTAAACCATTATCATTAGTCCTACTTGGATGAAAAGCTACTTTACTTGGAACACTGCCTGCAGTTCATTGCCCTTGATGTAAGAACAGGAAGATTCTTCCCTACTTCAAACTCCTAGAATATATCAGTTTGCCTTTGGGTTCCTAATCAAATCAACTTCTCTAGCATAAACGTGTAAAATATTTATAGCCTCCTAATGAGGATAATTTAGGATTTAAATGCCCTCTCTTCAAAGTGTTACCCAAATTTGACATTTCTCTTCAGTTTCTTACAATATTAAAAGTTCTGTACCCAGAATTAGTAACAGCAAATATAAGAATACTGTCAAAGAACATAGAAAGAGTAAAGCAAACACAAATACTCCTTTTAACACACAACTCCGTAAAGCTTCAGCTAAAATGATAAAAATAAAGTAACCTTATAAAACAATCTTTTGTTGTGATCTTGTATACTAAAATATTGTAAGCTTCAATAACAGAGTTTTAATGAGTATTCTAAAACAGACAGTATAACTTTTCCTAAATATATAGTTAATATAGTTATACCAGTGCCAAGAACAACTGGAGTCACACTTACTTACTGTAATTTTTTTTTTTTTTTTTTTTAAGATTTCTACAAGGAATACTCCAAACTGTGATGTGCAGAATCTGGGGATACTTACTTACTTACTTTCTTTGTAATAGGCAGGCCTGGCTAGTTTCAAAAAAATCAATTTCCAGATCATAGACTTCCAAATGGCGGAAAACATACCCCTTGACCTTCACCTCCTTTCATATGACACTCTACCAACTTTTCAAATCAAAAGCAAGTTTCCCACCAATCCAGATTCTTATTAAAGAAAATTATGCCACAGTGTAGAAACCTCTAAAACAGCAAACGAGGGCAGCTCACCACGTGAGTGTCTTATATAGGAAAAGGAATGAGCTGTTTGGTGGCACAGCCCTAACACAAAGTGCTGTGATGCTGGACCCACATGGGAAAGTCCTGGATTTGCATCCCGAAGCCTCCTTGTGCATCCCAGCTGCACACATGTGTGCCATGATTTGGGCTAACTGAGGCTGGAAAAGAATCATGGCGAGAAGATCCTCTTGTGGGGACCTCTCTGTTTCTATAATAGAAAAATGAATAATGAACTTAAAATTATATGCTTAGAAAAAAACCTAAGTGAAAGACTAAGCAACAATACCCTTTTTTTGGGAAGCTTTTGTCATAGGATGCATGCGCTCCCCAGGGAAGTAGACAGAAACAAAGAGACAGGAAGCAAGAAATCATCCCCTCCAGGGGGCTGGCCAAGCCGCAATCCCTTCTCCTCCATTCTCCTCTTGGGATTTGGGGCATGCCAAGTGGCCGGGTCCAGGACTCACACCACAGTTGACCACATGGAAGTCCAGCGCCTTAATCACTATGCCACTTGCTGGCCCCTTCAACACTGCCTTTTGTAATGGACATGATTTGACATCCTTCGCTTTTAACAAAACCAAAACCAGACTAAATGAGTGCTCACCTATTAAAACATTAAATAACATTCAAGGGGCTGGATGGTGGCGCAACAGTGATCCAACACTCTGCTAGGCTAAGCCACATGGGAAGTTTCTGGGTTCATGTCATAAGAAGTCTGGGTCTGTGTACATGTTTTGGGCTGGCTGAAGCTTGGAGTAGACTGTAAGATAGACTTTGATGAGGGTAACTGTCTCTGTCTCTGTCTCTCTCTCTCTCTCATGAAAGAAATAAATAAACTTTAAAAAATTAATGTTTGATAAAAGATCTGTATGTGGTTGAGAGATAAAAATCAGAAACTGAAAGAACCAGTGAAACCACTGTAATACAATTCTCACCATTTTCATCTTATCTATGTGAGCTACGGTATTTGCATCAATAAAAACAAAACCATCAAACAAAAATCAATTCTATCACTCAGGTAGAACCAATGCTGAATCCTGCTTCTTCTAGCAGTAAGCAATAAGAATCTGGGGAAAACTGAATTAGTTAAAAAAAAAAAATCACGCTCATCCATCTCATTAAGGAAATAATTTACACTGAATACTTACTTCCTACTTTTAATAAATATGCTTTAAAAAAGTACATCACTCTTTTTTTTTTTTACTAATAATGGTAATGAGAATGACAGTTCAAAAGAAGTCAATAAAGTGTAAAATACTGTGCTCTTTCCCCACATGTGTCCATAAGCACTTGAAATATAGTTGGTCCGAGTTAAAACTTGCTCTCATTTTGAAGACTGGTAAGAAAATGAGCATGTAAAATATCTCATTAAAATTTTATTTTAATTATATATTGAAATAATATTTTGAGTATGTTGTTACAATACCTTATGGAAATTAATTTCATCTGTTGCTACTTTTTAAAATGGCATTACTCAAAAATTTTAAATTGTGTATATACTCACATTATATTTCTATTGGACAGAGCTTCTTTAGAATCTTAAGGTCCAATGACACAAAAAAAATGATTTTAAATATATGTGCTTTTGTTACAGAGAAGTATGACAGGGATAAATATATGACTCTCAAGCATAGAAGTAAACAAAATTTTTTAAAAACTCTGTCATTGCTTATTAGCCTTCGTAATACAAGTTTATGTTAAAAAAAAAAAGTTGTAGTTTTGCTTCCAATTACCTGGTACCATTAAATAGCTGGGAAAAAGATACTATTTATACTGATTTCCTTAGCTAAAATTTGCATTTTCCATAATACCCTGGTTGTCAGGTTTTCTAAGTTTGTAAACTATTACATTTTTCCTCAGTTATTTTCAGAGTATTTCGCAACATATGGATATTAGAAAGTTGTCACTTACTGAAGAAACACAGACAAAAATGAAAACACACACACTACCTGGATGAGCACACTGCAGCAGAGCTACCGATTTGCCTCCAGGAGCAGCGCAGAGATCCAGAACCTTTTCCCCATCCTTTAGTTCCAGAGCCAGGACTGGGAGAAGAGAAGCAGCATTTAGGAGATAATATTTTTTCAGGTTTCCAATTTGGTGTCTTTCTGAAGGCATTCGGTCTGGGGTTCTGCCAAGGTAACACTTCACTGATTTAGGACAGTAGGGCACAGAGCCTTGA